AGTCTGTGTGCAAAATGTCAGCTGATTGGATCATGGGAAGTGGGTTAAAAAACGACCGAAAGATTTACACGGTCGTAAGCAAGCAAGCAAGCACGCAAGCAAGCAAGCAAGCGAACTTAATATAAAGGATTTAAAAAGCAAACAAAAAGAAGCAACTCTGATAATGATAATAATATGCACTGTCCTTGACGTTGTGGTTATTGCAAACATGATGCCTTGAATAAAGGTGTCAGTTTTGTACCAGTTTAAAAGGGTAAAAACCTACTACTATAAAGTGTTACCAATTAAGATGCTTACAATGGATGGGCGAATGTGTTTTTACTGGGCCGTTTCAAAATTGGCATCCTTCATGTGGCCTGCAAGTCACGTGACGTTAAGTCGCTGGCCCTATCCAGCCCAAGGTGTGTAGATTCCCCACCGCTGTTATGGAGTTTCATATACCACGACACATGTGATTATCTGCCCTCCCACCCCCCACTGTGTCTTTCTCAGCCAACGGCACTCTCCCACGAGTTCTGCAGCAGGTCGCTCTGCCCGTCCTCAGTTATGACACCTGTAGCAGGAAACAATGGTGGGGCTCTCTCGTGACAGAAAACATGGTGTGTGCCGGCGATGCTCAGCACTCTACCTGCCAGGTGCGTGAGCGTGCAAACATGCATGTGTAACGGGTTCCGGAGACACTTGTAGAGGTAACTTCTTTATTCCACTCCAACAGCACTCCAACACTCCAACACTCCAACTCTCCAACTCTCCAACACTCCTGATACTCTGTTACAGCCTAGGTACACAGCCTAGGTACACAGCCTAGACACTCTACTCTGGCTACGCTCTGGAACTCGCTCTCACAAGGTCGTAGAGTCGGAGTTCCAGAGTCCCACCACTGGCCCTCACAGCGTCCCAGGGTCCTCCGATGGCTGGTCTTGGGTCTTGGGTCTTGAGCTACGACTCGGCCTGATCGTCCAGGGAGCTGCCCTTTTATGCCTAGTCCCCAACGAGGGGTGGGGCCGTGTGTGCCCCCAGATATCCCACAGAGCACACACAGCCCTCCCCTTTGGCGGCGCCAAGGGGCTTAAGCGCCCGGGAACCCAACCCTGGCGCCAAGAGGCTTAAGCGTCTGGACCCGCCTGGGAACCCAACGCCTGGTGCCAAGAGGCTTAAGCGCCTGGCCCACCCAGTGTCCCAGAGCCCCCAGCAGCCCCTCCCTTCTTTTGTCACTACACATGCATGCATGCGGTATCACGGTAACACAGAGCCCTGCAATTGTAACGCTTCCTGTGCGGTGATGGTAAAACCGTCTAACGTAAAAGTGCACGCAAGTTGGAAACACAAATGTGAGAAATAATTAAACTGCATGCGGAATTTTTTCCAGACAGGACAAGGTGAGACTGTGATAGTAGGAATGGACATCCCATTGTGCCTCGCATCGCACATGGTATCATGCAAATGCACATCTGAACCTTCTTTATAACACGGCCACTATTAAGACTATTTATTGAATCTTTTTTAAAAATTCCAGGTGCACTGCTTACACGGTGTGGCGATATGCGTCCTACACAGCGTGCCAAGTGCACCAATCTTGTGTACACAATGCCACATTTTGGTGTCTATAAATAAGTATAACCCGTAAAAACAAAGTTTTCACTATAAATCCTTTATATGCGTGGCGGCTAGAGTCCTCTCGTCCTCTGGCTTGAGATGGCTGCCACCTATGGGTCAGATGATTGCCTGCCACCATTAAGCAATTGGTAATTAAATATTTAATTTGTTTTCCCTAAACAGTGTAAAATGTTGGAAAAAAATCTTCACGAACATTAATTGTCACGCACAAAGAGTATGTGTGTAAAATGTCAGCTCGATTGGATCACGGGAAGTGGGTTAAAAAACGACCGAAAGATTTGCACGGTCGTAAGCACGCAAGCACGCAAGCACGCAAGCAAGCAAGCGAACTTAATATAAAGGATTTAAAAACACATATTTCCCACACCGCTTCCACGCATCTCCGATTAGCATGGCTGGCTACGTACAGCACGAAAAAAGCGTAACATATTTCACCCTTTGAATGCTACAACGGGAAGTTATTTTTTTCCGTTGGAGAATTGACATCGATCCTCAGATGCTGAGAATGAATCACCGAGATCCTTTTCTACTTTCCTTCCCAGACTAAAGGAACTCTCAGACACCTTTACAATCATGCGGGGGAACAATGAAATCGCATAACCACAAGACTCACGCGAAGAATCACATACTCGCTTAGACACCTATACCTGCTTCCCCCGTTTAAATAAAATGTGCTTATTCATAACAATATTTTTGTGTGGGTCAGATCCCGTACGTATAAATGCGTCTTTAAACATGCCACCACCCCGACACACAGCCCAATTCGGAAGGGTTTGTCACTTGATCCAAAACGTATCGATTGGTTACTTCTTCAGCACACCAGTTGTGTGTTGGAGAGTAAATCGACAACATTTACAATTCGAGTACCTAGACGTTTCTCTGGTGATTGCAACAACTACAACCAGCCTCGTCATGCGATTTTTGCCAGAATTATAAAGACGTCTTCCTGTCTTTAGGTCTTAAATAGAGGAATAAAGGTGATGTCATCACAGGTGCGAAGACCACCCGATAGATTTCGATTTAAAGCTTTCGTGACTGCAGGGATTCATCTTATTGGTTCTTTCGGTAAAGTCACGTAGAAGGGAAATAATAAAATAATAAAAATTAAACATAATAAAATACAATTCTCACGACGTTTCGGCCACAACGCAAGCAGCCGTCTTCAGGTGAAAAACAGGTCTGTCGGAAAGACAGCGTCTGAATGAACACCACCAGGCTTGGCAGCGTATATTTAAGCTGGGTTAGAGGGGAAGGCGCCTTGACAAAGATTTGCATATCAACAGAGAATTTAGCATATTTATGGAAAATGCAGATATGGGATTAGTCACTACTTGTGGAATGCGTAGGAGGTGAGGGGGGTCTCAAAGTCATATTATGCTCGTGCATTATGTAGGATTAGCAGCAACAAAGGGAGGAAGTAGGGTTAGCAGTAATAAAGGGAAGGCATTTTAATAGTAAGGAGCTGCAGCAGCCATAATATGACTTTGAGACCCCCCCCCCCACCCCTACGCATTCCACAAGTAGTGACTAATCCCATATCTGCATTTTCCATAAATATGCTAAATTCCTCTGTTGATATGCAAAATTCCTTTGTCAAGGCGGCCTTCCTCCTCTAACCAGCAGCTTAATATACGCTACCAAGCTGGTGGTGCTCATTCAGACGCTGTCTTTCCGACAGCCTGTTCTTCACCTGAGGACGGCTGCTTGCGTTGTGGCCGAAACGTCGTGAGAATTGTATTTTATTATGTTTATTTTTATTATTTTATTATTTCCCTTCTACGTGATGACTTTACCGAAAGAACCAAGAAGACCACCCGACAGGTCTACGTGTTAATATGCATAATGTGTGCTGGGTGCCGTCACACTTTGTTGGTTTGTAATTTTCGCATTGGATCGCAAATCACATCGCAGCATTTAATGTCGGCATCCCATCCTTTCGACTTGTTCTCAAACACACGTGTCTGAGTGCCAAATTTCGGACGACAAAAAAGAAAGAAATGACCTGACACAATCCCGTGTGCCTAAATCGTTACATCCAGGGCGACTCGGGAGGGCCGCTCAACTGTCGGACAGACACGAAGTGGATGGTCTACGGCATCACCAGCTTCGGCCCGGAAATCTGTAACACCTCCATGAAGCCGTCCGTGTTCACGCGCGTATCTGCATTCAAGCGCTGGATCACCTCCACGACTGACATCCAGTTTCCCAACGACGTAAGCACCATCGCGTTGCGCACGGACACCACATGCCCGGCACTTTCCGAGGCCGATGGTTGTCTCCCCGCACAAAAGTGCATGCGGCAACTGATTATGGATAACTCTGAGACTAAGAACTATTTTATTTTTTTAAATCCTTTATATTAAGTTCGCTTGCTTGCTTGCTTGCGTGCTTGCATGCTTGCTTGCTTGCTTACGACCGTGCAAATCTTTCGGTCGTTTTTTAATCCACTTCCCGTGATCCAATCGAGCTGACATTTTGCACACAGACTCGTTGTGCGAGACAATTAATGTTCGTGAAAAATTTTTCCAAAATTTACACTGTTTAGGGAAAACAAATTAAATATTTAATTACCAATTGCTTAATACTGGCAGACAATCATCTGACCCATAGGTGGCAGCCATCTCAAGCCAGAGGACGAGAGGACTCTAGCCGCCACGCATATAAAGGATTTATAGTGAAAAACTTTGTTTTTACGGGTTATACTTATACCAGGTAAGGCCCCACTGAACTATGTAGCTTTTTTTTCAGAAGCGACTTTGCCATCACGAATGATAGTTCGACGAAGTAGTGGCTTATCACGCAGACATTTAAGCAGACAAATACTCCAAACACGTAACGTTCGTTCTAAATGTGGAGGGAAAACCGGAGGACCCAGAGAAAAATCTACGTTTAACCCGCCACAGCCAATTAGTAAGTTTTGTCATGTAAACGAAACATGCCAATTCGTTACTAGTACAGCATATCGGTGTGTGGAAAGTGTAAACTCACTATAACATTGACAATTTGAGAGCCGTGACATTTCACCAGTAATTGCAACTAGTATCATCAGATGACAGCCAGATTTGTAGAGAAATCCTCTCGTTCCAGGCAGCAGCGTAGTTTTTCTGTCCAGAGATGACCATTGATATTCGCACCTGATTGGATCACAGGTGACAACATCACATTTATCCCCCCCCCCTATACAGTGGTACCTCGGAGATCGAACTTAATTCGTTCCAAAATCGTGTTCGAACACCGATTTGTTCGAACACCGAATCATTTTCCCCATAAGAGTGAATGGAAATAGCGTTAATTGGTTCCCCACCCAAGGATGCT